CCCTCCGTCTATAAACACAAAGACAGCCTTCATTATAAGCGGATGGCGATTATATCGGTTGATAAACAACGGTACTACTTACTACTACTAACACTTATAGTCTTGCGCAAATTTATGGAAATTTACTCCACATTTGGAGAAAACAAAAATTCAGAGTATCAATGTATGCCATTATCTCGTCTACACAACTCCCGCTGGGCGACTAATTACACTAACGGTGACTAACGGGTTTAAAAGATTAACAGTAGGTCTCTGGTTGTTTTTCTCATGAATCACAAAGATGTCCTGTTAGATAGCGAGATACATTCTGTATATATAGATACATCCTGTGAGAAGGCAAAATAAATTCTGAGAACAGATCCTGCTAGGTGGCAAGAAAAAAGTATCCTGTAAGATAGCCAGCAGCCCATCTGTGTAGAGATATATCCTGTGAGATGGCAAACAAACTTTGAAAACATATCTAAGATAGCCAGCAGCCCATCTGTGTAGAGATATATCCTGTGAGATGGCAAACAAACTTTGAAAACATATCTAAGATAGCCAGCAGCCCATCTGTGTAGAGATATATCCTGTGAGATGGCAAACAAACTTTGAAAACATATCTAAGATAGCCAGCAGCCCATCTGTATAGAGATATATCCTGTGAGATGGCAAACAAACTCTGAAAACATATCTTGCTAGATGGCAAGAAACATTCTGGAAAAAAAGTATCTTGTAAGATAGCGAGCTACCATCTGTCAGGTATATCCTGTAAGATGGCAAACTAATTTCTGAAAAGATGTCCTGTTCGATGGCAAGATACATTCTGAAAGCATATTATGTAAGATAGCACGATACATTCTGAAAAGATATCCTGTAAGATAGCGAGATGCATTCTGTAAACATATATCCTGTAAGACGGAAAGAGACATTCTGAAAAGATATCCTGTAAGATAGTAAGATAGATTCTTTTAACATACATCATGTAAGATGGCAAGACTCTTTCTGTAAGCATTGTACCCTGTAAGATGGATAGATGCACTCTGAAATTGTAGCCTTTCAGAGAACAAGATGCATATCCTGTAAGATAGCAGGATACATTCTGAAAAGATTTCCTGTAAGGTAGCATGATGCATACTGTTGCTCTGCTCACATTCTAAATGTCTACCTTTTTAAAACACGACATTCAGAGAGAAAGAGAGAGGTATCCTAATCATTATGTGGTCTGTGGGACATCTAGGGAAATAGATGGCGCTTTTGAGGAGGCACTATATATATATATATATATATATATATGACGTTCTGGTCTGCTCCTCGGTTACCCTAGCCTTCGTGTGATCTGATGCTATCGTTATCATAACGAAGGAAATAGAGCATTTATTATTTTTTTGAAATATCAAATGTCGTCTTGTCTCCTTGTTAGTGCCTTCGAAGATACTTTGCCCCCCCCCCTCCCAACCCTAACTCTGTTATTCTTCGCCGCTGCCAGTAGTTTATTTGAAGTGATTAAAGTAGTGGTGTTGGTTTCGTAGACGGCTGGATTGACAGTAACGCAATAACGAACACGATACCATGATGCTATCGGCTGAACTTAGCGAATGATCCAGTCCCAGTGGTCAGAACCGTGCATTGGAAAAGCTGGGCCCCGGGGGCGAAGCTTGACAGTGGCGCCCTCCCCCGTTTCATCAATAAATAATATGTGCGAAAATCATTATAGATAGGCCGATTTACGTAAAAAATGTATATAAAATGTCTTCTTGTCCCTTTTAAGTGACTTCAAAGATATATAAAGATAATTTACTATCTTTACCCCATCCCCCGATTATGGCGCCTGGGTAGGTCATTCACTTGCCTCCCCCCCCCCTGACTCCCAACCTTAGCCCCCCCCCCCCCCACCTTGTATGCACAGTCCTGCCATTAGTTTTAATGAAGGCTTCCTAGAAATCTCAGCAAGCGGAGTCTCATTATTAGTTGCTGTAGTTAGATTCACGAGGTCGGGGCTAGCGGGTTTGTGTGGATCAGACCGTCGGATGGAGGGGTCAGGGCCGGCGGCGGGGATGCCAGTGGTGGTGTACGTGCCACTCCAGGCATACCACTTTTCAAGACAATGGCCGAGAACCGCTGTTCCAGATGAAGTGGACCGTGACGGCCGCCATCCCTTTGACGGTGTCCGTCCAATGACCTGGAACGGTCTACGTGACTCGCCGCCCCCCTCGACCTCTGTTGGCGCCTCTGTGTAAAATCACCCCCCCCTCCGCATCCGTGTAAAATCAGCTCCCCCACCCCCTGTCAGGGCCTGTGGAGCCGATGAACCAGAACGCAGGTGACGTGTGACGTTGGGCCAATGTTATGGAACAAAGGGTTTACTTGTTGCATTTCCAACCATTTGTTTTGTCTCCTTGACATTTTCACAGAAAGGCCTACATCATTGGACATTTTTAGACGCCTTTTGTCTGAGAATATGTCTTCTGGTACTTAATTTTTGTTTGTTTGTTTGTTTGTTGTTTTTTTGTTGGGGGGGGGGTGCAATGAATGTGGTTTTGGGAAAGGGGGAGGGATTTGTATGTCGTTGAGAATGGAGGGGTAGGGGTGTGTGTGTGTGATGGAGGGGGAGTTGGGGGTGTAAAAACAGTCGAACCGTTTAAAAAGCCTGACATCCCGTATTGATGTACAGAACGCTTTAGGGACCTCAGAGGGAGGAGAACGGTTTCATTGTGCGTTGTCCTAATAGATATAGTGGCGCGGAAAAGTTGTGAAACATTCTGAAGCCTTTCTGGGGGGGGAATCGTCGATGAAGCTGGACATGCTTCTTGGATGGAGCTGGATATCATACATAGTGGATAAAGCTAGGAGTATATTGCTGATTTGACTAGTTATTCTAAGCACATCTACCGAGGCATTCTAAGCGCATCTACCGAGGCATTCTTAGCGCATGTACCGAGGCATTCTTAGCGCATCTACCGAGGCATTCTTAGCGCATGTACCGAGGCATTCTTAGCGCATGTACCGAGGCATTCTTAGCGCATGTACCGAGGCATTCTTAGCGCATGTACCGAGGCATTCTTAGCGCATGTACCGAGGCATTCATAGCGCATGTACCGAGGCATTCATAGCGCATGTACCGAGGCATTCATAGCGCATGTACCGAGGCATTCATAGCGCATGTACCGAGGCATTCTTAGCGCATGTACCGAGGCATTCTTAGCGCATGTACCGAGGCATTCTTAGCGCATGTACCGAGGCATTCTTAGCGCATGTACCGAGGCATTCTTAGCGCATGTACCGAGGCATTC